CAAATAGTTACACTTTTTAAGAAACTATCAAACCTTTATTTGTCAGTGACTGAATGTGTTCAACAAGACGTTTGGCTGCAGCTTCAGCTTTCCATCTCCTTTCTCTTTCTTTCTCTAACTCCTGCATAATGTCCTGAAATTATAATAAATATTCATTATAACTGGTATTGAAAAACAAAATGTTCTTGTAAAACATAATGACAAAACAGACAGACAGACAAGCAGACAGACAGAGTTTATCAATTCGTGCAGATTGAGTATTTAAATACATTTATTATAATGAAGGATGAAATTTCAAGAGATTTATGTGACTCCAACAACATAAATATTTACAATGACACAATTTCCATAAATCTCCAACATTTTAGGAAATTAAAGCCCTTCTATATCAAGGAGCGGCCTTTTATTTTATGAATTACATTTTAAATGTCCTTTTTTCTTATAACACTTAAATAAAGACATGTGACATTTAAGAAATAAGAAAGTTTATGACTGTTTCATGAAATAAATAGTAAACTCCTTGATAAAAGGGGGGTTTAACCCCTAGGAAAGTTGGACAGTGAAATTAACTTTGTGCAATTGATAGTTTTTTTTAATTAATTGTCATTATTCCTTTGTTTCCATGGTTGCTTCTAAAAATACGATTATTACTTATATCTGTAAAATTACACGCTAAATATCATATACAAAATATCATGGCCTTTCTGCGATACTTTCAAATGTCTCCCCTTTATTTAGCAGGACATTTTGCTAATCACCAATTCCCAAATGTCTGGCTATCTGACACAACGTCTCTAGATATAAAGAAATGATAGATTGGTCAAATTACACAAAACTCACGTACAAACTTAACAAACTGAAAGCTGCAATGCTCTTTTTGTAATTGAGAGCCGAATAACATTTGCAGACACAACAAGTTTTTATTATGTTTGATTAACAACGAGAGCTGGTGTATATATCAATCGAATTTATTCTTTTTTTTAACGATTAAATTGTCATAAAAAAACAGGTTTTCAGTTTCAAGTTGGAATCCGCGTCACAAAATGTGTTTATAATGCACATGGCATCAATCATAAGAATATAAATCCAACTTGCGTCTGAGCACTTGATTAAAATAGATCTGTTACGGCACAAGTTCTGTCGAAATCCCTAGAGAAATGTAGGAGGATATGTCAGTGTGAACACAAGGATTTGATTACAGTGGTCCACATGTCAGTTTTGTCAACATTCTCCAATCTGGTACCAAGAATTTTATTCTTTGGAAAGCCTTGTTAATAACAATATCCAAGGACACAAAGTGACACATGACTGGAATGCTTTGTATTATATTTGTTGTATTTTTACTTGACATTGATTTCCATGGTGATCACATTAGTAATACATACTGTTACTATGTCAATCTTGCTATTTAACTTCGAAAATATTCCAAATTTTACAGTCCATTTTATCAAATTTTCATGCTTTTTTTTGCTGTTTCAAAATAAGCCACTAACTTTTTTTTTCTTTTGAAAACTATAGCCACAACAATCCATAGCTGATACTGGAATTTTGACCTTAAACCACAAGGACATGATAAAATATATTCATTAAAGAGGCTTTAAATCTTCCCAGGCAGCTACATATCCTACCCATATGGCATTAGTGCAGGTCATGATCAGCTTGCACATATGTGCTATCTGATCATGGTCTACAGTTAATGGATCAAAGTCAGTCCATTTTTTTTTAAAGTTTCCTTTAAAATGATGAACGTTTTTGTCTACATTGTAAGATGGACAAGTTAATTAAACATAATTATAAAGCATGGAAAGGACTTGGGGAGGTAAAGACCATAATTCTTTTTTTATTTCCTACAAAACCACCACAAAATATTCAAAGAATTACTCAATACTGACTTATTCAAGTCCTTTATGTTATAGCATGCAAAAAAGTCAAGTGCAGCAATATAGAAAATCAAAGTGTTCACCTTAATAAAATATATTCACAACTGACATACGCTTATTTGCCTGAAATCGGAGCGAAGTCTGCAAAGCAAAATGCCAATTACTATTGGCATTTTAACTGTCCCGGCAATTTTGATTTGATTTATACAATCTAATAATGAGAACTTTAAACATGTCTTCGAGAGATGGAAATGTGTGAAATAAAATATTAGATTTCACATTCCAATAATCTTGAATGCTACCAAATGCAAAGACCACGCTTTCGTGATTTTAGATAAGCCATATCTGAATGTCGCACATCACAGGGAAAGCACGGGTCACGATTATGTAAAGTAACGATAGGAAATTAATAATTAATCACATGTAAAACTAACATTCACTATCAACATTGAAGTTTATAGTCTGTAAGACACAACATAAAATCTGCATTTAGTATTACATGCCTCAAAAGGTCCAAGGACGACTAAGGCAAAACATAATATACCTGGTGTAACAAGCTATGTTATCCCTGATATTCTTAAATGGACTTTTCCAGCTTCTATTTTTGGAATTGTCCATTATCAAATAAGGGATTTTAAGAAGAATGAATTCCAAACTTCTGTTTTTAAATGTCTTTCTCTGTACAGCTGTTAATTACTATATAATCTTAGTCAGTTTTACTGGTGTTTTTTAATACTGAATATTTGTACTTTAACTAACAGCTTTCTTCACTAGTATAATGCATAAAATTGATCCTATGATTATTACACCAAACTCTTAGTAAAAGACGTTTTGATGTCGTCACTTTTGACGTCATGTGACATTGACATAACTTTCCCGTTTATTATTTATTTATGTACCCTGAAGCAGGCTGTCGAGCCAAAACGTTGGTATATTAAGGGGAATTTCAAATTTGTTTTAGTTGACTACTAATGTTCTTTACTATTTATAGATTTTAAGATGAAAAGTTTAAGTTAGTTAGCCAACTGAATAGTCTCAGCCTGGTCAGAATTAAGACGTGCAGGAGGGTTCTTTACCAGTAATACTGAAAAATTGGTACTTAATGGTTTGTTTTTAGATTTGTTTCATTTTTTTTTCACTGATAGATCCTTTACAAAGTAAGCGCCTGGTATGACCTAAAAACCAACACAACATGAAATAATTATGCTTATAAAAAGAAAAAAAATCCCTCAGCATACTTAGACTTTAAACAGCTAGCAAAAGAAACCAGACACTTGAATAAATATTTGTAATGGCCTAATATTATATCTTAGAAAATATTGGCAAACACAACTTACATTAATTTAAGATATACTATGTTCATCCTTATGTAAAATACTTTTACTGCAGATATTTATTTAAATCTTAGAAATTCTTACTGAATTAAAGGGAATTGTAAGAATTTGCAGTTGACAACTTATTTTTTAATATCTATTTTTACTGAATATGATTTTCTAATTTGAATAAGTCACCCATGTTTGGAAAATTGCATAATTCCTATTATAAACTGATCAATTTAATTTGGTCTTTTATTAAAAAAGTGTTATTGACACTAACTAATATGTATTTATACTGTATTTACATATAGTGTGAAGTGTTTGTACAGAACATATCTTCTCTGTGTGTACTTATTTATTTTACATTTAAAAAGAAACCACATGTATATAGAAGTTATCAGCATTTTCAAATATCAAATTTGAGCATCATATTACAATTCTGCAGGCAATCTAGAAAAAAAAGTTGTTAAGAAATTTTTTGACCTCCCAGTTGTCTGCATCCTATCAAAACATTTATTCTTGTGAAGTGATTGTTATACTTCTGTCATTTTCAGAGACTTCACTCTTAACCTGCGGAATTTCTCAGACGGACAAATCAAGCTGCCATTTTTTGATAACTGTCCATTTTAAAAGTGCATTAATGGTAAAAATATACATGTAGCTTCTAGTTTAGGAGACTTTTCAGCAGAAGATTCCATATATATTTCAATTGACACCAGACAATATAACCCTTACCTAATGCTAGAACTGAAAGTGATAATCCTTTGTAAATTGACTATCACAATGAAAATGATCTGCACCATCCGGGAATCAAACCCGTATCGCCAGATCAAAAGCTGTACCTATTGAGCTGACCAGGCGGCTTTCATAACAAAACATGCAATCTGACAAGGCTTTTACACAGTTGGATAACTAGTTTGGACATTTCACCTGGACTTTTCCAAAACTGATAATGGGCAGTTTAAAGAAAATGGGAACAGGAAATGTCCATTTAAGATTATACTACAGGCTAAGGCCGTTTACCAATTACAAGAGGGCCATGATGGCCCTGAGTCGCTCACCAGAAACAACTGCTTTTCAGTGTTGGAAATTATCCGTTGTCAATATTTTCTAATATTAAATTTGAGCATAGAATATGTTTAAACAATAATTTGAAGAAATGTCATGACCTGGGGCATTTAAGCTTGAGCTTAAACAGGGCCAATCAAATTATTAATATAAGCAAACTTGATAAAAGACTACCCAATAATGCTACAGACAAAGTTTGGTGATCATCCATCAATTACTTCTGAAGAAATAGACGTTTAAAGGTATTTCTATTTTTAGCTTTAGCGGCCCCTAAAAGGGGCCAATCAAATAAATACGAGCAAACTTGAAAAAAGACTACCCAAGGATGCTACAGACAAAGTTTGGTGACCATCCATCAATAACTTCTGTAGAAGAAGATGTTTAAAGGCTTTTCTATTTTTAGCCCTAGCGGCCCCTAAAAGGGGCCAATCAAATTAATATCAGCAAATTTGATAAACGACTACCAAAGAATGCTACAGACAAAGTTTGATGATCATCCATCAATTACTTCTGTAGAAATAGACATTTAAAGGTGTAAAAGTGGTCAGTGAAATAAGAAGCAACTACTTTGCGTTGTGTCTAAAATGATAATGTTTATTAACGGTAAAATAACAATGCAACGGAAATGACGTCGTATGAACTCTTCTTCCCGCCAACGTAACGTTGTCTGCCTGCCGTTCCCGCTAACGTAACGTCGTCTTTACGACATCCTCCCAGGCGCAAAATATGGTAACTGTTACATAGTCTCAAGGGGGTACAGCTTTACAATTGGTCTTGATGTAGTGTGCCCGTTACTGGTGCGAACCATGGCCGCTCGTGTCAATCCATCTTTACCAGTGATCAATTGTTCAATAGTTCCTAATTTCCACTGTGATTTCGGGGTTTCATCATGAATAATTACTACATCACCGTCCTTAATCGTTTGGCTATTGTTTCCCGTAGTTTTGTGATACTGGCGTAATGACGTCAAGTACTCGTGGCGCCATCTATCGCGGAAATGGCTAATGATCTGTGATTGTATTCTCGCTTGTTTGGTGATCCCATCTCTTGAAACTGGTTTTGGTTCGGATATATCTTCATTGTAAGGCAGGGTTGTCAAACGCCGTCCGTATAGCAAATGAGCTGGTGTAATTGGTTCTGGGTCGGTTGACTCTGACGTAACGTAAGTCAATGGACGGTCGTTCATGACGCTTTCTACCTCTGTTACGATTGTTTGGAGAGTATCATAAGTGACGTATGCACTACCAAGAACCTTTTTGATAGCTGTTTTGGTAAGACCGATTAATCTTTCCCACCAACCACCAAACCAGGGAGCGCGCTTGGGAATAAATCTCCACTCTGTACCATGGTTGTGTAACGTGTCTTTTACGGAAGTAGAATTCATTAATTGGCGTATTGTATTTGCTGCTGCTTGAAAAGTTGTTCCGTTATCAGATATCATAACCTTGGGTAGAGATTTTCTGCTACTGAATCGCCTAAACGCTTGTAAAAATGAAGATTCAGTCATATCTGAGACTACTTCTAGATGAACAGCTCTGGTCGAAGCACAAGTAAAAAGACAAATGTATGCCTTCTCATTTTTGTTTTTTCCTCGTACATGTAAAGCTCCGGTGAAATCAACTCCAGTCACAGTAAAAGGTTGTGTATCTTGAACTCGTATCTTTGGCAAAGGTGGTGGATCTGGCGCTGTGTACGGTCTTCCTGACACTCGGCGGCACTGGTTACACTTCCGGAGTAATTTCTGAATACACTGGCGTATCGATGGAATCCAATATTTCTGGCGTATATGGGTAATAAGTGCACTCGTACCTGCGTGTAAGTGTCTTTCATGGGCGTCTATAATTACAAGTTTCGTCAGTTGGTGGTTTGCCGGAAGCAGATATGGGAATCGGGTTTGCTCAGCTAAAGGGGCGTTATGAATCCTACCACCACAGCGAATGAAGCCATTATTGTCAAGGTATAATTGTAGTTGCCTAACAAGCGTTAGGTTTCTCCTTCCGGTCTTGATACATGTAATCTCAGCGCTATAGGTGGTTGCTTGGCAATTATGAAGCCACATCTTCTCTGCATCGGCAAGTTCTTTTACAGTTAACGTCAGAGTTGACGTATTATCGGAAGTTCTCGCAGATCGGCAATGTTGAATGAATCTCATCATATAGGCTGTCACCCTAAGAAGCTTTCTGTAACGGCTAAATCTGTTGATATCAATGACATTGTGAATTCCGTAGGTTGTCATGGTAACAAGTGTATCATCTTGTTCTTCTGCTAGTAAAACAGTTGTTACAACAGCTGGTTGGCTCGGGTACCGACTTTCATCAGTTAACCAATCAGGACCTTTCTCCCATAATCTACTCTTCAGAAATTCAGTAGCTGTAATTCCTCTTGTCAACATGTCAGCCGGATTGTGCTCGGTTGGACAGTACATCCACCTTCTGTTCTCTGTAAGATTGTGTATTTCAGTCACTCTATTCTGTTCAAATGTTTTCAACTTCCGGTTGGATGACAGCCAGTGTAGAACAATTTGACTGTCAGACCACATGTGTACGGATGCTGTAGGTATCGTCTGTTGTACGTGCTGCAGAAGTCTTGAACCAATCACTGCAGCCATAAGTTCAAGCCTTGGTAATGTCAGAAGCTTCAAAGGTGCGACACGTGTCCTTGATATAACACGTGCAGACTGGTCACCACGTGTAATGTATATTACTGATCCATAGGCCTTAAGGCTGGCGTCACAAAACACATGAAGATGAATATCTGAGGATGCGCTGGCAGCACTGTCGCCTATACCGGAAGTAAATGCCAAAGAGTCAGTTTCCTTGAAGTAACTTCTCGGGTATCTGGTAGGGATTACACTGTTTAAGTCTTTAGCAAAGTTATACCATTGGGTCTGTAGGTCATCTGGTAGGGACATGTCCCACTCGAACTTTTGCTTCCAAATATCTTGAAGTAGGATTTTTGCACGAATTGTGAGTGGGGTCAGGAAGCCAAGGGGGTCATAAATCTTCGCTGTTTCCTTGAGTATGACACGTTTTGTCATAAATTGGGAAGTAGAAATGGTCTTCTGTGCTAAGAAAATCTGGTCTGATATCGGGTCCCATTTCATTCCAAGGATGCTAGTTATTTCTTCAGCCTCGGCTACTTCTTCCGCTTCCGCTAGGCTGCGCAGAGAACTGTTGTTAGAGCTCCAGGACCGTAAGTTAAAACCAGCAGATGTCATCAATTTGCGTGTGTTCTGGAAGTAGTCAAGTAGAGTACTCTCGTCAGAAAAACTGGACATCACGTTATCAACATATAAGTCTTTCTTAAGTATTGCACTCACCCAAATATGATCATTGGCACTCAGATGCTTGGTTAAAGTGGCATGAAGTATAAATGGTGAACATGTGGCACCAAAAAGCACGGACTTGAATCTGTATGTTGTAAGGTCACTATTTGGATCATAAATGTCGTTCAACCATAGAAATCGTGTGACGTCACGATCATTCTCGTTGAGTTGTATTTGAAGAAAAGCCTTCTCAATATCTGTGCAGACGGCATATCTGTGCTTTCTAAAGTTCACTAAAATACTCGTCAATTCGTTGATCTGAGGAGGGGTTGATTCAAGGCAATCATTAAGACTCGGTGAATTTTTGTTTTGACGACAACTACAGTCAAACACAATACGGATAGGGGTGGTGGCCGAATGTTTCTTTACTCCGTGATGTGGGATATAGTGCACGGGACGCTCACTTGGTAAAACATTCACTTTCTCTATAAATCCTCTCTTTTCCTGGTCTTTAATTATGCCGTCGTACTTTTGTAGTAAAGGGGGGTCTTCACGTAATCGTCGTATGGTGTTCTGAGTTCTTCTTAATGTGATGTTATAGTTGTCGGGTAAATTAGGGTGATCAGGTTTCCATGGCAATGAAGCAGTATACTGGCCATTTTCAAAGGTAATGCAGTTCTTCTGATAATCATGCAAGTAGTCGGAAGCCTTTTCTTCTGCTGCGGGTAAAATGCCGATGGATTCTAATTTCCAGAATCGCTCAAGATCATCATAATCTGGTGCAGATGTAATAATGTTCATGATGTAGTTCGTAGTGATGACGTCACCGGAAGTGGCCCGGATAGAAGGAAACCAATCTTTGACTGGACAGCAGTCGGTCCGTCGCCCCGTATAATACGGTCTCCAATTATCTCCCAATATCGAGGGCTTAACGCAATAAGGGCGTAACTACATAATTTTCCAAAAATGGTTTTATATCACTTTTGACATTATTTTAGTCTAACTCATTAACCCTGAAAATTTGAACAAAGTATTTCATTTATTTGTATCTACTTTTTGATAATACTATAAGGGCCTATCTCAAAGTGACTTATGTTTTTTATGCAATAAGGGAGTAACTTGACTTAGGTCCTTATTGCATATATATAAAGCATCTAAGAGTTTAAATTCTTTTCTGTAACATAGGCATAGGTATATTAAATAAATCACAGTGATGCCATAAAAGTGCAAAAAGATATCATTGTCTCTTTGAGACAATATCAGATCTATTTTAAGTATATAATAGTGTCCATGAAACAAGACAAATTGCTAAAATATTGAAGTCAAATCAATTTCAAATTCATTTTCTCTTCTATCTTATTAAAAAAAATTGCACAGTCATGCAAGAACAAACTGCATCATTTAAACCTCATTGGTTTCTTTAACTGATACCATTATCTGCTGCTAAAACTTTTATTTTGTAAACAGAATAACTGAATTATATTATTACTATTTACAGAAGTAACCAGCTGACAGGACAAAAGTTATAGAAATTTAACTTTAAAGATTTTTCTATAGCACTGTATAACAATTACATCACATATATTTTGCATACTTTTGTACTGTGTTTTAAAGACATTCATTTGCACATAAAATAAAATCTGCTTAAGTATTTAAAAACATTCAAGTTTATCAATTAAATGAAGATATTCAATAAAATATCACATTTTCAATGTTTCTTTTAATATTTATTTTTTATTGTAACAGATCATTTACGGAGTATACCACATGTCTGTGTTTCTGAAGTCATTATTCTAGTGAAACAAGTAACTGATAACTTTCTATGTACATGAGCCATTTTAAATGAAGGCTTTAGATTAAAGGAACAAACTCCACTGAGGTACAAAAGCCTAAAATATGAATTTCTTAAAAACAGGCAAAATATTTGCAAAAAGTGATTAAAAAATACACCCAGAAATATATTGAAAATCATATTTTTGTGTTATTCTTAGCCCGATTTAGTGAAAAGCCTTGCAATGCTTTTCAATTTCGGGTCATTTTTCACAATTAGAATTATTACTCTGGTAAAACAGTCTGAGGGATTGAAATGAAATTTTGTACACCTGTTTTTGGTCTAGACTTATATCAAATGGAACATTAATGTCGAAAAATAACATCTAGTCCTGTCAAGGCATAAAATCTCAGTTGAGTCCCTTTAAAGGCACATCATGCCCCAGAAAGGACTAATTTTTGCCTTCTTTAGAAAGAGTTTTATAATGTATAAATAATAGTTTTAGAGCATGTAAGATACATATCACACGAACAAAGTAGCACTGAATGTGAAATTATTTGTCATAAAAGTAGCAAAATGTAAACAAAGCAGTATTTTAACTGCTACAAAAAATCATTGTACAGTATTAAATGCCAAAAAAGAAAAGAAACAAGTAATGGCTCAGCTGTATTTCAAATGTGTTACTTTTTGAAAACTGTAAAAGAACATAAAAAAAGCTTTAGAGAAATAAAAATAAAAGTATTTCTGGAGCGTAATGGACCTTTAAATAAGACCAAAATGTATTTAACTCATAACTCCAGTATATTGATTGAGGCAAGTAACTTTCAAATCAGGTGTGAGTGTATTTAACACTGCCTACTGTCCTTTAAATTTTTAAAAAAAATATTCTTGGACAATTTTACAAAAAATATTCTGCAAACTTATTGCCCCTAAACTTTTTTTAGTTAATATTAATTACCTTTAAAACTTCAGAATTTAAATTACATACATGTAATTGATGCTATAGTATAATTATAGTAAATTTCAAATTTGAGGGCTTCAAACCAACTTTTCAATTTGGTAATTGAAACCCATTAATCTAACTAGAGGATGCTTTTGTAAAAAAGCGCATGTCTCCCCCACTGCTGAGAATAACTGTGAATGGAAACAGGAATGGAAATGGAGATAAGATAATGTAAAATACCCGGTAGTCACTTTCAATAAGGCTGTCTATGGGATGGTTTCTATTTTAAAATTGTATTTGAGAAAATGTTTTTCCTAAACTGTTTGTTTTAACCAGGTATTCCAATTTTGAAAATCCTGTTATTCAATCAGCCGTATGGCAGCCCTGCTTAAGCTCGCGCACAAATTGCCCCCTGGCGGGCGTTCAAACGAAAATTGCACTTGATGGTCATATCATATATAGTTTCACAATTAAATTAAAATGAAAATGTGTCTGCTCCATAATTCTTCAAACCTTTAAAGGATTTTTGATATACTTGAAACAAACGTTCATATTGTAAATTTTTTTACCACTATTGAAAGACAACTCAAAATTACAAATGTATGTAAAATCATATAACTTTGTGTGTTGGATGACTCCACTCGTTTTCACAATGAAGCCTCTCTGTGAGACACTTGAACAAAAAATTCACCCAACATCCAGAGAACGTGTAGAGTACATGTTTCGTATGCTGGGTTCCAAGGTCAAAAGGTCTACTTGACACTTGAATGTCATATCATATATAGTTTCACAAAACGAAAATTAAAGGAAATTGTGTCTGCTCCATAACTCTTCAACCCTTTGAAGGATTTGATGATACTTGAAACAAAAGTTCATATTGTCAGATTTTTTACACTATTGAAAGAACAACTCAAATTTCAATGTATGTCAAATCATGATAACTGTAGTGTGTTTGGGATGACTCCACTCGTTTGACCTACTGACCCCCCAAAAACAATAGGGATCATCAGCTCTATAAGACCAATCATCCTATGAAGTTTGAGGGCTGTAGGTCAAAAGGAACTCTAGTTATCATCCGGAAACGAGAAATTGACCAACGGTCACTGTGACCTTGACCTTTGAACCTACTGACCCCCCAAAAAACAATAGGGATCATCTGCTCAATAAGACCATTCATCCTATGAAGTTTTGAGAGCTGTAGGTCAAAAGGAACTCTAGTTATCGTCCGGAAACGAAGAATGGACGGACAGACTGACGGACGGACGGACTGACGGACGGACAGGGCAAAAAAACAATATGTCTCCCCCCAGTTTGAGGTTGTAGGTCAAAAAGGAACTCTAGTTATCATCCGGAAATGAGAAATTTGACCAACGGTCACTGTGACCTTGACCTTTGACCTACTGACCCCAAAAACAATAGGGATCATCTGCTCTATAAGACCAATAATCCTATGAAGTTTGAGGGCTGTAGGTCAAAAGGAACTCTAGTTATCATCCGGAAAACGAGAAATTGACCAAACGGTCACTGTGACCTTGACCTTTTGACCTACTGACCCCCAAAACAATAGGGATCATCTGCTCTATAAGACCAATCATCCTATAAGTTTGAGGGCTGTAGGTCAAAAGGAACTCTAGTTATCATCCGGAAACGAGAAAAATTGACCAACGGTCACTGTGACCTTGACCTTTGAACTACTGACACCAAAAAAAATGGGATCATCTGCTCAATAAGACCAATCATCCTATGAAGTTTGAGGTCTGTAGGTCTAAAGGAACTCTAGTTATCATCCGGAAACGAGAAATTGACCAACGGTCAGTGTGACCTTGACCTTTGACCTACTGACGCCCCAAAAACAATAGGGATCATCAGCTCTATAAGACCAATCATCCTATGAAGTTTGAGGGCTGTAGGTCAAAAGAACTCTAGTTATCATCCGGAAACGAGAAATTGACCAACGGTCACTGTGACCTTGACCTTTGAACTACTGACCCCAAAAACAATAGGGATTCATCTGCTCAATAAGACCATTCATGCCTATGAAGTTTGAGAGCTGTAGGTCAAAAGGAACTCTATTATCGTCCGGAACGAAGAATGGACTGACTGACGGACGGACGGACTGACGGCGGACGGACGGACAGGGCAAAAACAAATATGTCTCCCCCCGAGGTGGGGGATGACATAATTATGGGTAGGAATAACAAGACATCTAGAAAAGGGGTGATTGGCAAAGTTAACTAGCATATTACACTTTTCATTTAAAGTTGTTTAAAAATGGTTTAATATTATCTACATCATACACCAGAAGACTTTTTAGATATTATTTTCATGGGTTTACTAAAAAATTTACCTAAAAATCTGATTTGAATTATATATCATACAAGCCACTTTTATCATTTAGAGATAATGTACTTAATTTCAAAATTTTCAATGTACAAATATTATATCATAAGGGAAAAACAGAAAAACTAATTTTGCTTTATGATAGCCCATAATTAAATACCTTAATGTCTTTGCTAACTTCTTTTGAAAAGTAACTAACTAAAATAAGGCAAGTGTATTTGAGTCTTCTTATCCTACTTACGTCACTGTCAAAAAGTGTTGTGGGTGATAGCATGCGAGAATTGAGACACGTCTTAAACCTGTCAGTTGATCCATATACCTACTGAGATCAATGCAGTTATTTTTTCTTAGCAATTAAGACTGGTATAGCGCTTACTTACATTTTATAGAGAATTAGTTGGGATCACACCATGGATTTTTATTCGATCTAAATGGTATCAGAAATCAAAGTCCCCATTATTTTCCATGTGAGTAGGGCAGAAGAAAACATAATGACACTGCATAAGAGTCGAAGTACTTAAAGGGTAGCCCTTTATTAATGGATGGCAAGTTTTTGAAAAACTGCTCATTAATATTTTTTCACAAAAAAAACAGTGAATCTAAAATAGTTATTCAATAAAGCTTAATTTTTCATTGAGCCCAATCCCTTTAAGTCTAACAATGTAATGGACTAATAATTAGAGAAGATGTGACAAAACCCCACATGTCAAAACATATTACATATTTATCAGAGGAAAACTTCTGCAT